CCCCAAAACCCCAAAACCCCAAAACCCCAAAACCCCTCACTGGTGTTAAATAATTGAAAAACTGTATTCTAAATTAATTTTCCCTCCCAAAATTCATGCTTAGCTTAAGAGTTGAATCCTAGTTTTGAGCCAGTGGCTTGGCAGGCTAGGCTCTTGCATGAATGGCACTTTTGTAAAGAAATTTTTGGATTTTGGGAGCTGAAGATGGATGAAGACAGGTTTGAAGGGGCGAATGGAGTCTTGGAAGAAGGTAGATTCTGAGTATAATGGAATAGGGTAGTTTTTGTGATTTGAGTAAAAAAGTAGAAAGTAATTTTTAAAGGATGGAAGCAAAAAAAGTGCATAGGAAGATAAGAAAGGAGACAACTTTAGTTAACTACTAAATTCCAATAGCATTTCTTCATTATTTTTCATCTAAATACTATTTTCCACACAAAAAATATTGTTCTCCAATTAAATTCGAGTAAAAAAACAATGAAAAACACAACACTAAGACCAAAAAGGCACCATCTCCTTCCTTCCTCTCTCCTAAACCCCACAAATACCTTCTTCTCCCTTCCATCCCCCCTACTATCCACATCCTTCTCACTAAATCCCTCTGTCTGTCTCCATATCTAGACTACAGAAAGCCAGCATGCTGCCTATTTATCCTATCTTCCAGACCTTTAGATTAAGCTAAGCTACAAACAACCAGAGTCTGACCAAGTCCTTGTGAAGTCCCACTAAAAGAGGGCTCATACCTAAGATATTCTATGGAAGAATTTCAAGTTCGTTCCTGAGCTGAAGTAGCTTAGGAAGAAATTACAGTGGGCGGGTTGATTTTGACTAGAAGATATTTTAGTAAATAGAGCATTGTCTGGTTTGAAATGAGAAAGATTTTTGTAAGAAGTTGAGTCCAACTTATTCTTGACAGTGATGATAAAAATTTAGCTCAAACATTCACGAAAACTGTTATACAATAAAACCTTCTTTCTTTTGCATATTTTCAATTTAATTTAATCTTTTTCTCTTCCTTTTAAGACCTTCAGTAACTTCTGATCCTTCTATGGCCCAGTACTTTGAGTATCAGACATCTGTCTTGGCCCATCACTCCAAATTTTTTTGTTCTTGCTCTCACTGAAGGTAGTAACAGAAAATGCTCTCAGACCTTTATCAGTAAGTGCTTCTTCTTTTTGTTGTTGAAAACCCTGAGCCTTCTCATCTTTTCCCAGGATTTGTATTCCTTCGTTTCCTTGAGTAGGAGATCCTTCTTTTTTTGAAGAAACCTATCGAGGTTTTGATAAGCATGTCCGACACAGCCTTAATTATCAGTGCTTGACCCAGTCTTTATAAAGAACAGTGTTGTTAAGGAGTCTATAAATCAGCCCTATCGAGACTTCTCATTCTTCCATGATGTTTCAATAATATTTAATTCATGTGGGGTTTTGGGGTTTTGGGGTTTTGGGGTTTTGGGG